GGGGGCGGGGCGGTCTCTTCGCGCCGGCGTCGCTGCGTCCATGCGAGCTGGCGTGTGGCTTGAACGCTGCTGGGGGAGGAGCGGGATCCGAGCTGGGCCAGGGAGCTGAATCCGGACGGCTGCGTTTCGGCAGCGTTCCCGTCGGGGGCTACGGGGACGAGGGGCAGGACCAGGCACAATGAACGGGCGGGTGTGATGTAGAATTGCTCCCCACTCCCGACTGGGACTAGTCCGCCCCAGGAAATGGACCAAGGGAGCGGGAGGGGGGATGTTGTTCTGCTAGAGCTATGCCAGATATTTTTGCCATGTAGACAGACCCTGAGGAGCCCCCTGTGACGGTGCGTTGGGGTTTTCCCGTCTCCTGCACCCCCGAAAGGGCACGAACAGACTCCCCCAGCCAGTAGAACAGAGGTGGTTTATTGCTTCTCCAGGATACAGCTCAGCACAGATGTCACCAGGTTACAGGACAGGCCTAGGATGCCTCAGCCCCCCTTGATATGGGGGGGGTCTCGGCTTCTCAACCCCCCCTGCTGTTGCTGAGGCTGCTTCCTCCATGCTCCCAGACAGAAACTAACAAACTCTCCTCCAGCCCTGCCCCCCAGCCCAGGCAGCATCCACCTTCCTTTGTTCCTCCCCATGGGGGGTGGCTGGTCAGACAGGCTGAGACACCCTTTGCATAAAGCAGGACAATGTAGCACTTTAAAGACTAACAAGATGGTTTATTAGATGATGAGCTTTCGTGGGCCAGACCCACTTCCTCAGATCAAATAGTGGAAGAAAGTAGTCACACATCCCCTCTGCCCTCTCCCCCTCGGCTCCAGCCCCGATCTGCTGCTCCGGTGGGATATCCGGACCCTAACAGCTGCCGTTTCCCCGGATGGGAGCAGCGCAAGGGAAGGGAAGCAGCTTGCACAGACCCCGCTCTGAGGCCTCGGCACGGCCGTAAACCCAAGAAGCCCTCGCGGGGGGCGGGGGGCTGCTGTCCCCGGTGTCGGGAGGGGGACTTGCTGGGTGTCTCACTCTCTAACCCTGCCGGGGCTGGGCTGTCCCTGCAGAGATCCTGGGGGCCCTGCTCTCCGTGCTGTCCATCTGGGTGGTGACCGGCGTCTTGGTGTACCTGGCTGTGGAGCGTCTGCTCTCCAACAACTACGAGATCGAGGGGGACGTCATGCTCATCACCTCCGCCTGCGCCGTGGCTGTGAACCTCGTGTGCGTCCGGCGGGCGGGGCGGGGGGGGGGCACACCCCCCGCGCGGG